CGGGATCGAGTCCCACATCGGGCTCCCTGCTCAGCGGGGGGTCTGCTTCTCCCTCTGACCCTCTTCCCTCTCTTGCTATCTGTCTCTCATTCTCTCTCTCTCAAATAAATAAAAAAAATTAAAAAAAAAAAAAAGACCGTGATTAGAACTGTGGTGATGGAAGCACAGGGCACAATGGAAGTACCTACTAAGATGGACATCTCTCCTGAACTGAAGGAGTCATCGAAAGCCTTCTAGAGGAAAGTCTTTTTAAACTGAGACCTTAATGATAGGTTCTCTTGCTTCTCCTCCAGGAAGACTGAGCCTTTAAAGGGCAGGTACTGTCATGGGACTCAGCTGGTATTTAGCAAGCACCCAATACAAATTTGTTAAATGAGTCAAAGTAGACATTGAAGCTGTTCCTTTGCCTAGGAGTAGAAGCACTCAAGATTAAGTGAAACATGTATTTATGTAAGGTATATGCATCAAAGTGTTAGATTCCTCAAACCCAAGAGAAATAGAAGATACGATTTTTTAAGATAGCCTTCACATGTTCTAGTGCCCTCTTGACCTGAAGTTAAAGAGTATATATTACCAAAAGACATTTTGGCACAATTCTATAAAGTATTCTAGGAATGTATTAATCATATGTTGTTCTATCTTTCCTCCTTTTTCAGGACTTGTGCCATTCTCATTGTGATCAGTCCATCATTCACAAGAAGATCATGACTATTATCAACTGCTTTATTAATTCTAGTATTCCACCAGCTTTACAAATTGACATTCCAATAGAGCAAGCCCAGAAGATTATTGAACATAGGAAGGAGTTAGGACCATATGTGTTTAGGGAGGCACAGGTAAGAGATCAGGGCATGCAGCTAAGGGTATTTTATTATTTATTTTATTTTATTTAGCAGCTAAGCATATTTTAAAATAGATGAACAATCTAGATATTCTTTTAAGGTTTTTGCATTATTCATATTTGACAAGGTTCCAACCTTCCTAATACTGAGATTTATTCTATTTAATTAAGAAATTTTTCAGGGGTGCCTGGGTGGCTCAGTTGGTTAAGTGTTGGGCTCTGGATTTGGGCTCAGATTATGATCTCAGGGTCCTGGGATTGAGCCCTGCGTTAAGTCTGTTTCAGACTCTGCGCTCAGCAGGAAGTCTGCTTGAGATTCATTCTGTCTGTCTGCCCCCCCCACCACTCTCTCTCTCTCTCTAAAATGGATAGATAAATTTTTTAAATTTTTTGCATATTCCACAGATCATAAAAAACTAGTAACTTATTTTGTTGATAATATATAGCAAATACAATTATTTAAATACTATCCTTGACTCTCCGTGATTATCACTTTTGTTTCTAACTTATACCACTCCAGCCAATTCCTCCTTCCTTTCCCACTATTCCTATTTCCTTTAGAAAATCTGCTATCACAAATATGTGGTAAAATATGTGTGTCCCAAGATTTGTGTATTTTTAAAGATTGGAATATTCACATAGCTCATAAAATAAGTGAGAGGAGATTTAAGTACACAAGCTCATGAAAGGAAAACCATGCCTGTTAACCTGCTCAAGTTACTTCTTTTTAAGATAAATAATAGAAAACAGTGATTTGATGAACATAATTTATTTGCATTTTTAAGAGCCTTTTAGTGATGTAGTTCCTGAAAAATGATTAAGAAAAATAAATTATAATGGGGGTAATAGGGAAGGCCATGTCATGATTTAAGTGATATAAAACAGAGATTTAGGATATGATTGCCCTTGAGCATGGAAAAAAAGGCCATTATTCCTTAACATTCATTTGTGAGCCAGCTGTGTTCTAAGTCCTCTAAGGAACTGAAAATGGACTCACAATCCAAATTATGCATTAAAAGAAGTGAAAATATAGAGGAACGGTTGAGGATGTGCTAGAGAGAAATAGAGAAAACATGGTGCCAGAATTACAGTTATCTGTTAGTGAAAAGATCTTAGAGATCACTTAGCTTAGCCTAGGTCTCTGAATAATCAGACCAGGGCTTGCCCATCTAGATCAAAGACCTCGAGTCTGCAAGTGCCTGTCTGGAGCTGCTTATATTGGTTGGTTCTGCCATACTATCTAGGGATTGAAGCCAGTGAATTCTATTGGAGTTCTCTAGTTTGTGCCCTCTACTTGATTTCCTAAAATGGAGTCCTAGACATGTCTTAAATATGGACTTCGGAGCATCAGAAAATAAGAGAATCTTTATATAGAGTCCTCACCCCACCAAACTGATGATTCCTCCTGCGTTTCCTAAGGAAGTTCAGAGAATAGCATCACCTTCTACCCAGGTGTGCAAGCCAGAGATCTGGTTACCATCTTTATGTCTTTCTTCTCCTTTATTCCCTTAACCTCATATCTGCAGTCCCTAAAATTTATCCATTGGTCTTGTTATCTGTCATCCTATCTACTTTTCTCTGACTCTATGCCATTACCTCAGTTCACGTCTGCAATACTTCACATTAATTGCCAAACGTGCCTCTGAGCGCTCAAAACCATTTAACTCACTGCAGACAGAGCCATCTTTTTCAAAATGTCTGTCTGATCATGTCACTTCTCTGCTTTCAATTTCAGTTATTCCCCACTGTCCTCAGAATGAAGACCATACTCATTTATCTCTTTTAGGCATATCTCTTACCACTCCCTGCTACCCATCCCCCAGTTTTACTGACATATCTGTACTTCCACAAACAAGCCTTACTCTCTTCCCTCCTGAGTTTTTTGCGTTATCATCTACTCTCCCTTGTGCTTCTGTAACATCCTGTATACGTCTGTGTTTATCACACAAAACTGAAAATGCCTATTTTCATGCTAGCTTTCCCACTAGATTGTAAGGTGTTTGAGGGCAGGGAATGTTTGTTATTTACCCTTGTGGCCCAGATGCCTGGCACAGTATAGGCATTTTTGAACACATAGATGACTGACATGAGAAGTGATCATTTGTGACAGAAAGGAGTAAGATCAAATTGGAAAGGAAAGCAAACTTGAGTGAAAGGGCTGCATAGTAGATAAAAAAGCCTGTTGTCTGTTCTAGTATTGTAATCCATATAGCCTCTGCCTGTCCCGCACTTGCACCCCTAATAGCTGTAAAGTTTTCTTCACTCAGCCAAATTTTCACTGGCCCTTTTGACTCATACTAACGCCATTGCCCATCTCCTGCCAGTGAGCAAAGTAGCTCTATAATTATTCAAACATTTTCTTACCTACAGTTTGATTTCTTTTAAGGTTCTGGAGGCACGGGGTAATTTTCATGACTAGCACATATGTTATTAACCTAAAATCTTAATTGCAACTTGTAGGAATAGAGCAGTTTTATGTCTCTTATTGAAAAATTGTGTTCTACTTGGGTGACTTTTACTGGAAGACTTTCTAGATTGAAATAAATATTTGAGAGCTAGGAATGACTCAAGTTTTGGAGAGATAACTGAGGTATAGGGTCAATAGTTGGTAAATAGAGGAGGAAGGGGGGAGTATTTAAGTTTAAGAAGTTCATATAAAAACTACCATGATCCCTTGACATTGGAGCAAGGGCTTACTTAAATAAAGAAATGGCAGGTAAATGTAAATGAAGTTTTTTGAAAAGCCTGCATTTCATCAAATAAAGAATCTCTAGCCTTTTTGTTCAAAATGCCAATAAACTACAGAATTCAATGATAAAACTGTATTTTTTTAATTTAAATTCAATTAGCCAACATATAGTACATCATTGGTTTTTGGTGTAGTGTTCAATGATTCATTAGTTGCGTATAAACTGTATTTTAAATCGAATAATTTTAGAATTACTAATAATATCCATATACAGAAAAGAGAAATAATGAAATATACCAACCAGTTGAGGACTCTGTTGATCACTTCAGCACTTGCTTTTTAAAAATTCCTCTTTTCCCCTGAAGAGTTGGCTTGGAGCCTAATGGGATGGTTCATTTTTCTCCGGGGCATTAGGTAAAGGTCATTCCTAGCAACAAGATGTTGGACTTGATCTGATGTGGCAAGTCCTACCTTCTTGGAAGAATGTATACCTCTGGAACTAATGGAAATACTTGGCATGGGAATTTGAGCAACAATCCTTATCTCTATAAATATCACAGTTAATCACTTAATGTAGAGTGTCCTCATAGAAAGCATTTGTCCAGGATACCACCCTGCTTCTTAAATGTTACTTTTCTTGCTCTCACATAAAAGAGATTATATCATTTAAAAGTTACTCAAGATTTATTCTTAGATATGCAGCTTTGTTTAAGAGCTTTTCCAGAGGTATTTCCTTTCTCTAAAAGAAAGAAAAGGGGGCAGAGAGGAGTTCCTCTTGATGGACTGAATATTTGGAATACTTGCATAAAACAGCAGAGTGTGTGGCAGATCAACTAGTGTATGTTTTAAAAGAAAACATAAATTTCTTATTTAAAAAGACCTAATGGATTCTTTATTAATACAATCAATTGGTTAGGGAAACATAAAGAATAAAGTAACTTCTAAGTGTATTTTTTTTTTAAAGAAAGACTTCTCATTGGTAGTAAAATACACTGATCACAAGCATGTGCTGAGCTAAACTATACCAAGATGTCTGGAGACAATAAGTTGGAGGAAACGTGCTGTATATTAAAGATAGAATAGTTAATCCATTATTATGGTGAATTAGAGTTTAAATCGGTACATTTGTATGAAATTGTAACCCGAGACATTGTTTTTTATACAGATGACAATTTTTGGGGTTCTATTTAAATTTTGGCCTCAATTTTGTGAGTTTAGGAAGAATTTAACTGATGAAAAAATTATGAGTATTTTAGAGAGAAGACAAGAATATAATAAGCAGAAAAAAAAATTGGCAGTCATAGAAGATGAAAAATTTGCAAAGGTAAGACAAAACTCATTTTGAGTTGAATCATACTTTTATTTTTTTATTTATTTATTTTTTCTTATGGTTTGAATCACACTTTTAAAAGGTATGTGATGTGTATGAATTTAGAGAAGAATTTAGGCCAGAGAAAAAATACAGAGACATTATAGAATACAGATTTTAGTGGCTTTAATAATTTAGTTAGAGGTTTCAGACTTCATTTTGAATTTCTCAAAATTCATCTCGAATGTCACCTCTTCCCTGTGGAAGCTTCCTTGACCCTAATAGGCAACACAAGCAGCTCACATCCACTGTAGTAACATTCCTAACTCTCTTGGAGAATGCTTTATATAGCCTCATAAATAAGTTTTTGCATCTGTCATCCTCACTGGACTGAGATTCCCAAGGATAGTATCTGTCTTGTGCATCTGTGTATCATAGCACATAGACCAGTGTCCAGCATATGCTCAATTATTAATCACTGTTTACTGAGTAAGTCAGGAATAAAAAAAAGAATGAATGAAAAGATGTCATGTATTCATGGGAAAGCATTTTCAGTATTACAATTACAGAATAAAACATTGACTGTGAAATTTATAAATATGAATCATAAATTGCCCAACCTGCCTATTTGTCCATTTATTCATCCATTCATCTGTCTATCCCTATATTTATCTATTTTCTTTGAATTGAAAAAGGGTAACTGCATCTAACTAATTTATTTCTTTATAGGCTTATGCTTATTCTATTTTTTAAAAGAAATTTAAAAGTTGCTGAAAGATGCAAAAGTAATATAATGAATGCTCATATATACACAGGTCAAAATAAACACTGCTAACATTTTGCCTCTTTTTTTTTTCATCTCCTTAAAATACTGTAGAAAGAGTAAATACTGCAGAAAGAGCAAACTCTCTTAATCCCAGCTCTGAGTTCTGTTAACCTCCCCATTCCCAAGAGCAACCACTAAGCTTGGGATATATTCTTCCAGATCTTTTTAAAGATAGTGTTTTATACATGTATGTATACAATTTTGTAAATAATATAGAGGACTATGGAGGTTCTCAAAAAAACTGCCAAACTTCTCCAAAGCTGCAGAAGCAGCTTGCTCTGCTTTGATGTTTGTATGGTGTATCTTTTTCTATTCCTTTACTACCTATACCATTATATTTCCATTAAAGAGCGTATAATTGGGTCACGGTGGTTTTTTAAAAAAATCTATTCTGCCAATCTCTGTCTTTTAATTGGTGTATTTAGTCTCTTTATCTTTAGTGTAGTTTTTTATGTTAGTTAAGTCTGCCATTTTATTTCTTGTTTTGGTTGTTCCCCCTGTTTTTCATTTTATTCTGTTTCCTTTGTTGGCACTCCTGTGGATTACTTGACTACTTCTTAGAATTTTATTTGGGTGTGTCTTTGTTAGATATTTTAGTGGTTGCTTTAGATATTACATTATAGATACATGACTTTCACCAGTCTATTAGTGTTGACATTTTACCAGTTTGAGTAGTCTAGAAACTGCTCTCCCCCTTTAAGTCTTTTCCCCTCACCTGTTTATACTTATTTTAAATATTTCCTCAACATATACTGAGAACCACATCCCTATAAAGGGTGAGGTGGTTGAGGAAAATATAAGACATTTCAAAATGAGCAGAAAATGGCAGATGATATCCATATAAAGCCGTCATAAGAATAAAACAGAAAATGAAAACTCCAACATTTTATAATTTTTGCTTCAAGCCTCAAACATAAATTAGGAAACTCGGGGGGAGAATAGAAAAATCTATTCTGTTAACCTATATTTTTGCTCTTTCAATTTTTCTTCCCTCCTGATGTTCCAAGATTTATTATTTTATTCTTTATTTTCCCTATAGGTAAAGTATTGTTTCGCACTTACTGCTTTCAAGATTTTTTCTTTGTCTTTAATTTTCAGAATTTGATTATGATATGTCTTATGTGGATTCCTTTGGATTTATTTTGGCTGAGGATGACTCGGGTTCTTGAGTCTATAGGTTTATGTCTTTTGCTAAGTTTTTTGGGGGGATTTATATACATATTATATATGTGTGTGCATATATATGTATATATAAACTTTTAGATCCATATATCTGATTTATATACATATTATATATCATTTATATACATATATATGAATCAGAAAGAAAGTATATATAAATAATAGGTGCATAAATCCTCTTATCTATTCAATCAAATTTCTTCTCCCTTGAGTACCTTATAGCTTCACTTTTGAGAGATTTTTGTCTTTTTCTTCAGTCTTATTTTAAGTCCAGTAAACTATCATTTTACATTTCCTTTTTATATTTTTGGTCTATTTCTGGCCTGAGTTTCTGCATTTATGATTTGGAGTATTATTTAATATATGCAAATATTTGTATACGAATATTTAGTTAATTTATTTTATAGTTCTCCTCTGACTCATGACTGGATTTCTTGGACCGTACACTCAGCAACTAAAATGTGTACACAACATCATTTATAATAGTAAAAAATTTTTAATGACTTAAGTTTCTAATAGCAGGCATTGATTAAATTATCTATGGTACATACCTTTACCAGACTATTATTCACCTGTTGAAGTGATGATATAGTTTATTTTTTTATCATTCAGGATTTGCGTGCATAGGACAGTTCATCATGGGAAATAATAATGTATTCATTTCATCATTCAAATATTCGTGTGTATACTATATGTTGTATGGTAGGCATACTGGTGATTGATAAAAAGACCCTCCCCTTTACATTCCCATTCTACTTTTATTCACATAGAAACATTTTCACAACATTTAACATGAAAAGGATATTTCAAAAGAGCACACATATAGTGTAATTCCATTTCATGAAATTTATGTAATAAAATATAAATATTAAAATTATAGATTATATCTATGTCTTTCTCTGGTGAGAATTTTGGATGGATGTTTATGAAATTGTTTACAATGGTTTTTCTTAGATGCCAGAATTTGGGAGTGATTTTTATGTTCTTCATAATTTATTATTTATTTTAAAATATTTTTATATTAGTATGAAAGAAAATTAAAGAGTTCATAAATTATGTCACATTAGTAATATTGACTTGATGAAACCACAGGTGTGGTACTCACCACAAAACATGTTTTCATTTAATGTTGTGACTCTTTTACTGTAAGTTTATACTAATATAGTTTTATCCGTTTTTTGGAATAACTTAATTTAAAATAATTACAGGATGGACTCAAACAATATGCAAGTTCTTCAGGATCTGCTATCAAAACAGTTACTCTAGCCACTGACCCAGTTTTAGGCATACAAGCATATGGTCGACAGGTAAGCAGTTAAAGGTGTCACAGATACCACTTCTTCTATAGTAGAATGCAGTCACTCAATTATTTTACAATAGTAGAGGTGTGCTTGTTTGAAAATGAAGGTAAAATTATGCTGGAAGAGATTGGAAGGGAATTTCCTTGAGCCTTCGGAGAACATGAAAATTTCAGCTGATCTTAGACAATATAATCAACAAAAATACTTTTTGATACATATGAAGAAGATTTAAGAGGCAGCAGTTGAAATGACTATCTTATTGGAAAAGAGAATAAGGCAGATAGAGAACAAGATAGAATACATTTGGTTGATATATTCTTGGGTTAAAAAAAGAAAGAAAAACATCAAAGGCTCCATCTCAATTTTTTAATCCTTTGAAGTGGTCATAAAATTGGCCAGTACATGACCATCAACAATACATGTTAATACATTCACAGTTTTTATGTTTATATTTACATGTATAACTTGTACATTCCATGAAATTTCATAAGTTTATGTCCATTTTTAATGACTTGTATCAAAGGCGTTTGTGTCTTAGGATAACACTAGCTCAAGAAACAATCTTTTTGGCATTTAGGAATGTCAAACAAATTCAGCCACTCAGCTAAGATAGACTGATAAACTGTAAAACTGTTATTGAGAGAAGGGAAATATCCAATTTTGTGACACCATATTTTGAAAAAGGTAATATCTAAATGTGTGTGGTATGTAATAATGCCACTTGGAAGAACATTCATTAGCAAATAACAAGCATTAAATTTCAGAAACACGGTGTAAAAATAAAGGGGGAAATGTGGAATTTGAGATAGCAGGCTTCTAATTTTCACTGTCATTTACAGTGTTACCTGGAAGCCTGAAAAAAAATCACAGAATTTGCTTTGAGCCTGTTAAAAGGAGAAAGGGAGAGAAAAGGGGATGATGATGATGGTGGTGATCTCTTGTCATATATCTCAAGAGTTTTGTAAGAAACTAAAAAGCTTTTGGAAACCAAATATATATATAAAACAATATATTATTGTTGTTGCTATTGAAGGAATACATGTGAATTATTCCAGCAATTGGTAGAGTAATAATGCACTCCACATTTTGCAAGTGTGGATGCTCTGTATATGCATTTGTTTCAGATAGATTTTGCACATTTAAGAATTGCAATTAATCCAAATGCAAAATACCCCCCCAAACTTGGATCTCTCTTAAGCATCTAAATTCATAATCAAATTAAATATATAGGTACCTGCATAGCTGTCAAGAAATCTATAAAGCCTTTGCAACATTGATTCATTGAGAAATAGTTATAACACATATAATTACAGCACATCATTGAAGAGTTATATTCAATGCTCTGTTATTGAAGTTTGTTATACTTCAATAAAAGGTTTAAATGAAGAGGCTTATATAAGTCATCTTACCTTCAGTTTATTTCCTGGGGCAAACATTTCCACAATTAAGTTTGAAAATTGTCTTTCTAGCCAACCTGGTGCTACTCCAAGTACATAGAAGCCTTAGAACAGGAAAGGGTTCTTCTTAAAATTCAAGAAGAGCTGGAAAGAAAGTTATTTACAGGTAATTTTTGCTTTTTGCCTACAGGATTGCTTTGTTACCTTCTACCATGGATTAATTGTAGAGGACTTTGCTGCTGATTACTTCACTGTTTTCCTTCTTTCCCTTATTTTTGTGCAGCTACACCATCTTTTACAAATTTTAAGTCTCCTGCTTCAGCCATGTCTTTGAAAAAGACCACATCTTCCCACAACATCCAGAGTGAGTTTTCAGTGATAGTCTACCTGCAGTTCTTTCTTCCTTGTTAGAATTCAGCCTGCCATGAGGCCATCAGCATAGAGACAGCAAGAAGGGATGAAGACTGCTTTCCTCCTAACTGCTCTGAACCACAACTTGGAGAATTTCAGTATATGTGTGTGTGTGTGCGCGCGTGTGTGTGCGCGTGTGCATGTATGTGTCTCTCTGTGTGTGTGTGTTCTGTTTCCCTTTCTGTTTTTTCTCCTCTGCTGAGAACCTAACACTCCATCCCATTTTTAGAGTGATGGTACTCATGTGGGTATATAACCTGCTGCTGCTAGATGCAAGGTAAGTCACAGACTGAAAGTTGTTCAGTACCATCCATGTCCCTCTGACACACACACTCATGCACATACACAGCTGCACACACACACACACACACACACATACCACTAACCAACTGATGCGTAAGAGTGAGCACCTTGCCTCCCTTCTAAGTGGCACAGTCCCCTGAAAAGGAACGCTTCCAGGGAATGATCATTTATTGTTTTTATTTACTCCTTATCTATTCTTTTCTTCCACAAAGAACAACAGAAGAATAGGCTCTAGCTCAGTTTCCCGAGTTTTTCCAAGCTCCATCTCCCCAAGTTGGGAATACAAGAAGAAACTGAAAATAAAGAACTGAAAATCAAGCCAAGTCCTTCTCTCCTGCAGATACTGATAGGATTACACAGTTTTGACTGGCTGCTCAGGGAAAGGCTTCAGTGCCTTTACAAAGTAGTATAGGAAAACATGTGGTATATGTGTGACCCATGGAGCCGGTATTTGAAGAACCCAGTAAAGGTCCCGTTTCTCTGATCTTCTGTCTTACTGCTTAGCTTTTTGTGGATTTGGGTTTTCTGGTTCTCGGGAGGGTTTGATGAGCAGGCCTTTATGTTCTTAGCCTGTCCATCTTTTTTCTCTCTTGGTTTATCCTAGCCACTGTACCCTTCTGCAAGTTCCCCAACCCCTTAGGCCGCCCTCACAGTGCCTCAACCTGGAGGGTTTGCTGACATATCTGTTCATTTTTTTGATCCTTATTACAACTCTTTGTAAGTTTTTTGTTTGTTTTCGATTTCGATTTTCCATAGCTGCTTCTGTTTTCAACCATTTATTTTTCTCTTGCAGGAATTCCTTAAGCCAAATTTAACTGACATGGAAGCTCAAGTGATTTTTTTTGATGGCCTGCATTAGAGCAAGCTTACCATCTAAATAAAGTTTGGCATGTTGTACTCTCATAGTTTTAAAATGATAGCTATTCTGTACACATGACATACGAGACCATAAAATTTTTAAAAACTTATTTAGAATAAAATGACTTCTGTCTAGGTTAGAAGAATCAAAATGGGTTGCTAATCACAGAACTTCAGAAAGTACCGTGTTATGCTCCTCAGGTAATCTTTCAGTAAGTGTTCTTGGAGCATTGACTCTATCTCGTTAGCAGATATAATCAGCAGGGGGCTAGGGGCAAATATTCCTAGCAGTACATTGACCCAAAACATAAAGAGAAGTGACTTCGAACCCCATCCCTTTCCCCAGCTCTGAAGGAACCGGATATTAAAGCAGTGGTCCTCAGATGCAGACTTTAGCATGTGCAAGAGTTACTTGTGGCATTTGCCAGCAGGGCAGATTTCTGGGCTCGCTCTCCGAGAGTCTGATTCAATAGCTCTTGGGCAAAACCCATGAATGTCCCTCTTTAACAGATGTCCTAGGTGATTCTGATAGAGCAGCTCCCCGGATCACTCTTTGCAATGAACTGTGAGGGTGAACGAGAAGAGCTTGAAAAGGTAAAAGCCCCCTTATTTACTGGGGTTACACGTGTATCAGAGAGAGCCCAGACACACACCCTCTTCTCCTCTTTCCCAGAGAGAAAGGAGAAAGTGTCAGAAATGATGCGGGAGCATGAACTTCACCAGCTGTAGGCCTCAGGACGCCGACGCTCTAAAGACTGTGACCTGGATTACCGGATGGGAAGCAACGGACTTCCTCTCTCTCAGAACCCCAGAGAGTATTTTCAAAGTAGAAATTGCTATTCCTGATTCTCTAAAGAGTTTTAAAGAAACATTTTAAAGGGGGGAAGCATCAGGAGGCACACTTCAGATAGAGATTTTCTTCTAAAGCAGTGGTTTGGACACTTGTTACAGCTTTGAAGCCCTGTGGTTTCCTCTGCTTCCACTCTGCTCCACACCCTGGGGTGGCCGTGAAGCGTGTAACATTTCTATGCTTTGCACTTGATCTTTGTTTCTTTCTTTTCTTTTTTTCCTTTCCTTTCCTTTCCTTTCTCTTCCTTCCTTCCTTCCTTCCTTCCTTCCTCCCTCCCTCCCTCCCTCCCTCCCTTCCTTCCTTTTCTCTCTTTTTTTCTTTTTGGTATTCTACTCTTTCTCTGCCTTCCTTTGGTTTTAATTGAACATTTTATAGGATTCCATTTTCTCTCCTCTCTTAGCACATCAATTATACTTCTTTTTTTTAAGTAGTTGCCCCAGAGTTTGCAGTATACATTTACAACTAATAAAAGCCTGCTTTCAAGTACTACTGCACCACTTCATGGGTGGTGCAGGTGCCTTAGATCAGAGCATGTCCTCTTGCTCCCTCCTGTCCCTTATCACTTTGCTGTCAGTTCATTTCACTTGTCCCTAAGCTATTATCACTGAATACATTCTTGCTATTATTATTTTAAACTGTTTTCTGTTAGGTCAATTAAGAATAAGAAAAATAAAACATTATTGCCCCTTCATTTATTCCTTCTCTAATGCTCTTCCCTTCTTTATGTAGATCCAAGTTTCTGACCTATTATCATTTTCCTTCTCTCTGAAGAATTTCTTTCATCATTTCTTGTAAGGTGGGTCTACTGGAGACAAATTCCCTCAATTTTTGTATGCCTTGTAAAGTCTTTATTTCTCCTTCACTTTTTTTTTTTAAAGATTTTATTTATTTATTTATTTGAGAGAGAGAGAGAAACAGCATGAGAGGGGATAGGGTCAGAGGGAGAAGCAGGCTCCCCGCTGAGCCGGGAGCCCGATGCGGGACTCGATCCCGGGACTCCGGGATCATGACCTGAGCCGAAGGCAGTCGCTTAACCAACTGAGCCACCCAGGCGCCCTCTCCTTTACTTTTGAAGGGTAATTTCACCGTATACAGAATTCTAGGTTAGTGGTTTTATTCTTTCAACACTTCATATATTTCACTCCACTCTCCCCTGGCTTGCATGTTTTCAGAAGAGAAACCAAATAGAGTTCTTATCTTGTTCCCCTGGCTTCTTTCAAGATTCTCTTTGTGACTTTGTGCAATTCAAATATAGTATGTCTAGGTGTAGATTTTATGGTATGCATCCTGCTTATGTTCTCTGAGTTTCCTAGATCAGTGGTTTGGTGTCTGTCATTAATTTTGGAAAATTTGCAGTCATTATGACTTCAAATGTTGCTTCCGTTCCTTATCTTTCTTCTTCTGGTATTTCCACTATGCACATGTAGCACCTTTTGTAAGTGTCCCAAGTTCTTGGATATTCTGTTATTTTCCACTTTTTTTTTTCTCTTTGCATTTCAGTTTTGGAATTTTCTATTGACCTTTCTTCAGGCTCACTGATTCTTTCCGTAGCTATGTCTACTCTGTTGGGAAGCCCATCAAAGGCATTCTTCATTTACATTACAATGTTTTTAGTTTCTAGTATTTCATTTAGATTTTGTCTTAGAACTTCCATCTCTGCTTATATGACCCATCTGCTCTGACATCCAGTTTTTTAGTAGATCTCTTAACATATTAATCATTTTACATTTCTGGTCTGATAATTCCAAAATCTCTGCCATATCTGAGTCTGGTTCAGAGGCTTGCTTTATCTTTTCAGACTGTTTTTTTTTTTTTGTTTCCTTGTCTTTTAGCATGCTTTGTAATATTTTATAGAAAACAAGACATGATAAAAGGAACTGAGGTTATATGGGCCTTTAGTGTGAGGTTTTATGTTTATCTGGCTAGGCATTAGGCTATATTTACTGTTTGCTGTGGCTGTGGGGTTATAGGCTGAAATTTCCCATATGTCCTTGTTTTTGTCTCCTCTGTTGTTTTGGGTTTTCCTGGAGACTCCTTAATAGGTCCTGAGGCTTGCAGTTCTTTTAGCTGCAATCACGGTTATTACACCAGAACCCTGTTGATGTGGTAAAGTGTAGGAGGAGGGGAAGTGTTTTACATTCTGATGGTTATATGTCAGTCTTCCGGTGAGACTGAGTTCAGTATTTCCCTTCCCCCAGGTCATTTAGGCTTTAGTAAAACCCAGTCCATTAGGCTCTGGTAAAATAGTTTCTCTTGAGGGCAGGCCTTGTTAGGAAGAGAACTCTGGGTGTATTCCAAAATGTTTTCTTTACCACTCCCCCGACCAGAAGCAGAGGGGATTTTTTTCTCTGATCTTTACAGTGAAAACCTGGTGGAGCTACTGGAAGTAAAACCCAAGAATGTGGACCACCCCCCCC